GCCTCCGCCCGCGCGCTCGCCGCCGGCGCGCTCGCGGGCGCGCTGCTGCTGCTCGCTCCCGCCGCGGCGCCGCCGCCGGCGGCGGCGGGGCAGAATTTGCTGGACGTCCCGACATGTTCCAATTTCAAGACATCCCAAGCCTCAGGCATCAAATTTTGCGAGGTCAGGCAGGGATCAGGGGAGGAGCCGCTGGAGGGAGATTTAGTAATGGTTGACTACACGGCGCGCGCGCTGGCGGCGGGTGAGCTGCGGTCGAGCGGCCGGCGACGGGAGGGGGCGGGGGGGGTGAGCAGGGTGGCGCAGGGCGGGCCATTTGGCGGGGCCCAGGGCTGTGCCTGCGCGGATGTTGATGGGGTTTCAATGGCACAGGGAATTGCCTGAGCAATCGGTTAATACAAGAGAGTGCTCTCGCACTCTCATTCAAGGTTCATGGAGAGAACGTCCCCATACCTCGCTGCCAGGCCGTGCTGTTTGACTCCCTACAAGGAAAACCTGTCCGTCTGCACCAACAAAATAATGCTGCTCCCTGAACCCCAAACCATGGACCCTCGTCGCCTCAGATGGCAAGGTGTTTGACGGCAGCCGGGAGTTCAAATTCTTCGTGGGCGACAACACCCCAGACACCACGCAGGCGCGATCCCCTGGATTGCTGGGCTTGGCGCGGCGTGTCACACGGCATGAGGAGGGGTTGGGAGGAGGGGGAGTGGCGCAGCCTTGCTGCCCAGGGCCCAAAAGCTCTCGGGTGTTGCGGTGTGGCGGATCACGAGCCGTGCGCGTCGCGCCTGCAGCTGACCAAGCGGGGGCGTCCGTTGGGCCGGCCCCGGGGACATCGCCACTCGCCACTCCCTTGAGCCAGCTCCGCCGCGCCGCCCCTCGCAGACAAATGTAGCAACAAGCAAACAGCCTGTCACAGGCGCCGCACCCCTAACCCCGGACTAATTTCGGATGCAGGTGATGTCGGGCTTTGATCTCGCTATCCTCGGAGACGGCGCCGCCATCCCGCCCATCAAGGCCGGCGGCGTGCGCACCGTGGTGCTGCCGCCTGCGCTGGCGTACGGCGCAAAGGGGGACGGCTGCCTGTACGGCCGCGACAGCAGCTGCCGCATCCCCCCAAACAGCGAGGTGAGGGCCTGTGTCGACTATGTTTGACTATTTCAGGGTAAATGGGCAAGTCACAGCAGCGCTGCCGATCCTCTGATCAGGGGGGGTGCGGGCCACGGGGCACATATGCGTGCAACCCTGCACCGGCGGCAGCGGAGGGTAGCAGGACGGCACTCGCGGCGCCGCGCAGGCCGGACGACCCCATTCACAAGGAGGTGCCCGCCGCCCAGGGCTGGGCGATGACGAGGGTGCACGGCCGAAGCCGCCCGGTCCGTGCCTGTGTTGGCTCGACCTCCAACTGGCATTGCCGCCGCGCCGCTGCCTACCCTGCCGCCCGCTTGATCCGCCCGAAACGCGCCACAGCGCCGCTGCCCATCCAAACCCGCGAGGTGCCACCCACCCCGCTGTCCCAAGACCCACTTTGCCCCGCCCACTGCCCGCCACATCACGGCCCCAATCACTCCACCGCTGCACCACCGCCCGACTGCTTCACCGCCCACTGCACTACCACCCATGCGCTCCACCCCTTCATCGCCCCACTGCCCATCCCACTGCCCCCTTGAACCACTGCTCCCTGCCGCCGCAGGTGGAGCTGACCTTCCGATACATCGGCCTCGGCTACGGCAAGTGACAAGGTTCCGGGGCCCTGCCATTCCTCGGACACGTCAATGCGCCACAGGGTCCAATCACTGGGTCTACGCCAAACACTGTAATCGCTCTTCTGTCAGCCGTCCCACTGCGCGTTGAGTTGAACGAAGAGTCAGTGTCGTGTGTGCTGAGGCGGGGCGCACTTCCAACCGGTCGAAGGGCAAGGACAGCTGTGTTGCATGTGACAAGCCACCTCCGCCTCAACTGGTTACAAAGCAGTCGACTGCACCAGGCCCCGTGCGCTCCGGCCAGCTCAAGACTCGCACACAAACAGCTTCTCCCGTCATGCGTCAGCCCTCCCCTTGTAAATTTCACACATCTTGGCCCTTGGCCGCCCTCACACATACGCATGCATGTACGGGATCAATCCCCCCTGCTCACAGCTTTCAAGTTTGCACAGCCACCCTCAAGGCAACAAACCTCCAGACCCCATCCAGTGTTCATGCATGACTGACGACGGCTGGAATCAACACCACCACCCTTGCGCTCCCAAACTCGCCGCTCACCACCAAAATTCGCTGTCCTTCGCCTCAACCCCGCTCCTCATCAGCCACCACCGACTCCCATGCTGCCCTCCCCTCCGTCCCACTCCCTCCCTGAATGGCTCGAGCGGCATCGGCGTCCCCGCC